TAATAAAAATGTATAAGATAATACATGCCACATGCATGTATGGTTGGCATGTGGCTTTTCTCTGTGTATGAAATTGTTGCCGTTAGTTGCTATCATGAAACAGGCTCATGGAAAACTGTAAGATGATTTAGGCATTTAGGATGTGTATAAGATGTGTACCATTATTAGCCACGTAGGAACAAGACCCATTCCTTTGACATCTTTAGCTAGATCATGATTATTCCATTTTAACTAATACGTGGTATTTATGAAGGTGTTAAGTGCATTTTGCATTTTATTTTTTACTCTTCTGCAAAAGGATAGATAAACTTTAGGTGATAAATTTTTCTTTTGTCACATGTTGAATGTAGTAAAAGACATGAAGCAGGTTTTGTCTTTTTTCTTTTTTTATTTTACAAATGAATGACATCAGGGTTTCAGATTTTTTTCTATATGTTGATATACTTGAAAAAATACGTATATAACATCATGTTGTGATACAGGCTGAAGTAGAAGGACCAGATTTTTATTCAGTGAAAACTTGCATTCATTCAAATGTAAATTTTGCAAAACCCCAGTGAGCCTAGTTGTATACAGGGCCCCACTCTTGGCTTAAAACAAAGCAAAGCAAATATAATCTTTCAATGATAAAGAACATATGGAAGAGAAAGATCTTGAAACCTCTTTGATTTGGACAAATAGGTGAAGACTAATTGGAATTGGTGGGGAATAATTGGAATTGGTGGGAAATAGAAAATGTGCTTATGTTAATAGTCTTGTTTAATAAGATGTAGCAAACAACCATTTGGTTTTTGCACCTGCCTAGCATTGCTGTATCCTTGGTGTACTATTCTTCACTAGTTGCAGTTGTGTGGGCTCCAAAATCTGCACCTTGCCTCTCTGTGGTCATGTCGCTGAAGACTGGCCGATCACAATGCCCAAATTTCTTATACTGATCGGTCTAGAGGTTGTTATGTTATTCAGACCTGGCCAATAAGAATTACAACTAGGATGTTTACCTTTTGGATCTTGTAGTAAAGGAGTTCGGGGTTTTTCAGTTTGGAGTAGGAAAGAAGTAGACTAGAAGCAGTCAGTAGCCAACTAAATAAAACCAATAAAGGGTAAGTAAGAGAAAACGAAGTCTGAGAGGAAGCAGATCTTTGTTGCTTCATTTCTAAGTACTCATAGAACTCAGAGTTCCTTTTTCTCCTGAGCATCCTTCAAAGGTACTTCTTTTCCTTTTATATATATTTTTTGTTTAAGTTGTAAAAGTCCTGCTTCATGAAATAAATAAGAACTCTTAATCAATATGGTATCTGTTTGCATGTTTATGTACTACTTCTAATGTACTAGACATCTTCTCTTAAATATTTTGAGTTTCCTATGTATATGTACATATACATAGGAAGGGTTTAGCTGGCCCAAACTTTGTCTAAATATATATATATATTAGCTGGCCCAAACTTTGTCTAAATATATATATACCCTTCACTAATATGAAAAAGTTAAGTTTTACATTGCTGAATAATTATAAGCCTTGAATTAGCAACATCAAAATTATTAGAACTGTGCAGTATTAATGCTGATCTATTTAAATTGAGTTCATAAACTTGCTTGGGTCCTGGAAACAACTTGCATTATTATGTATTTTTTCTCTCTAATTTTTAAATCAAATTCATTAGTCAGTCATCCCCTTGAAATCAGATTCTGCAACCACCTGGCTATTCTCCAGAAGTCTTCCATTGTTTCACGAGCCATCTTCGTTTCCAATTCATTTTTCTTTATCCACTGTGTAAATTAGGTGGACCTGAATACTCAGAAAAGTTTGAAAGCATTTGGTTGTTATTAGAGTAAGGATAGCTAACTCACACATGTGAAACATTAAAGAAACCTTACAAATCTTTGAGTAATTTTTTTTTTTTTCTGTTGTTGTTTGGGACTGTGGGGCATTTAACCACATCCTGCCATGCACAAAACAGTTGAGCTTCTCTCTTTATTACCAGGTAGAGTTTCTGACTAATAAAACAAACAAGGACAATACTTAAATTTTCTTTTCCAAGCATTTTTATTGTTTTTATTTAAATGTAACATACTATACACTGTGCAGCGTTTTGGGAGGTAGGAGGAGGGAGCGATTCTGTATCTTTATGAGGAGTATTCTCAGAACCAAAACTCAAATGGACACATATTTGTGGCTAATATACCTTAACTGTGTGGGCTGGGACCATGCTCCTGCAGTGGCAGAACTTTCAATATCTCCCATTTTTTTTTTTTTTTTTAACCTACAACATTCAGGGCTGAAACTTTTTTTTTTTCAGTAGTTGCAATAGGAACCAGAATTCTATTTCAATATCAAGCAAATATGACACTTTTAAATGCAAAATAATGTCATTACTCCTTACCAATCTTTCTTTGTCATATCATTCTCTCTCCTTCCTTCCTTTCTTCCTTCCGTCCGTCCGTCCGTCCGTCCGTCCGTCCTTCCTTCCTTCCTTCCTTCCTTCCTTCCTTCCTTCCTTCCTGTCTTTTCTCTCTTTCCTGTCTTTCCTATCTTTCCTGTCTTTTCTCTCTTTCCTTTCCTTCTGGCTCTTTTTCACCCAGGCTGGAGTGCAGTGGCAAGGTAATAGCTCACTGTAGCCTCAAGCTCCTGGGCTCAAGAGATCCTTCTGCTTCAGCCTCCTGAGTAGTTGGGACCACAGGTACATGCCACCACACATGACTATATTTGTTTTGTTTTGTTTTATTTTAACAGAAGGATACCTCACTAGGTTTCTCAGGCCAGTCTACAACTCCTGGTCAAGCCATCTTCCCACCTCAGCCTCCCAAGCTGCTGGGATTACAGGTGTGAGTCACCGTACCAGGCCAGTTTTTTGTCTTTCTGTAAGTGGGGGCTGGGGGGTGGGGCGGTTGGTGTGGGAGAGACAGGGAAATGTTTTCTATTTTTGGCCTCTGCAACCTTTAATACATTTTGCAAGAAGCTGTTTCAGTGTCTTGAGTACTATAATGATGACTGTTTACACATAGTCTCTTTGGTAATCTAAATGGCTATGTAAAATAAGAATCCAGTCTGTGCCCTATTTGCTGTCACTGTGGTTATCCAATGTGTATTTATCTCACCAAACATTTAATTTTGGTTGTGGGTGGTCTATGTTCATGTGTCAGGTGCAATTATTGTTTTAAAATAAAGGAAAAAAGATACCTAGTTTTGATAGGAATGCATTACATTATAGCTCACAGACTCAGTTACCAATTAATTATTAACATCCAGATTCCAACCACAAAAATTAAACATTTTTAGAATCTCATTCGTCAAAAAGCAAGTTGGAAGCAAAGTATGATGAAATGCAATTTAAGCTATAAGCCAAAACACAGTGCCTCAAATATGTTTCTTCTGTAATACAAATTTTTTTTGAAGAATAGGAGAAATAATGACCTTTTATGGGATTACTTTATGCAAAAAATTTCTTAATAAAGCAGTTTTTAAAATAACAGATTACCTGGAAGGACTGGTTAAGCATTGACACAAATAAGTTTGTAAGAGAATCACAGAATATCAGCCTTTCCAGAGGTTAAACTTTAGAAAAAAGACACATTTAATGAGTCTTTTTTTTGTACCAAAATACACTGTCCAAACAATAAAAATAAACACTTTTCAAAACAAGAAATATGAAGATAAAACTGTAGCATCAATATACTCTTATAGTTATTGCTTAAAAGTATTTAGAACAAATAATATTTTTCTACATTTTTAAAATCACTACAGACACTGCAAATAAGGCTTATGTATTTATTTAGTGGAATACAATGTGATGATGATTGGTAAACTCTTATGTACTGTTTTCTATACCTGCTCTAACAAAATGAATTTTGATATGATTACATTATAGAACCTTGTAAAGCTCTTTAAATTTATAGAAAACAAGTTTTATTTGGTTTTGTAAAGACTAGATCATACAGCTTGAACAGGTTTTTGTATATGGTTACATGTACACAAGTATATATTTAATTTGCTCAGTTTAAGCCCCTGGGAGAGTTGCACTTCATACCAAATTCTTTGATAGTTTATTTGGGAAAGATGCATCATGCGGGACTTACAGAGATTTTTTACAAATGGAAAAGCGTCTTTACCACCATGACATACGGCAAAAAATCAAGAGTAAATAATGAGGATAGGCTACATAAATGTATTTAGCAATTAATTTTCCTTTTTTAGCATATTCTTGGAGACAAATTGATGTATTGAAAGGGAAGAATTTGGCCTTCTGGTCTATTTCTTGAGACAGGAAGCCTCCGGAGTAATATATGCTTTCAAATGATAGCAGACATCTCTCACTCATGCCATGGCACAGCATTGCCATATTTATTGTTGATGGTTATTACTGCAAACGTGCAAATTAAGTCAACTGATAGCACACAGGCACTCATACTGCTTCCCTAATCTCAACTCCTATTCTTGAAGTGTTGGCCAAGTTTTAAAAACACTTTGTCATGAACATGCGTATGGTGTGCTGAAGAAAAGGAAAAGATAAATCAGAAGGCAGTTGCTGAGGATACTCTTTAAAACCCCAAAAGATATTTAACATCCTATTAAATAAATAACTTAGAAATAGAAAGGGATGAAGGCAGAATGCACAAGCATACCATACTATTTGTATTGTTAGAACAGTTTCACACTAACATGTTTATATTTTTAAATTCTATTCAATTCTTCCATGAGACCACATCCAAAACTCCTTTGGTTGTGCATATGATTTGACCCAAGTGCTTTCCAGTAAATGCTTGCATGTATTACTGCTCATTGATTCATTAAGCTTGAATGATCAATGAAGTCTTTGATATGAGTTCTTATTCCATAAATAACTTTCCCGAAGATCATTCATTCAACAGATTGTTCTATGTCCTTTAAGTTCTATCTCAGAGGTTTAAAAACAAAAACTTAACTATAACAACAACAACAACAACAAAAACCCGGCCACAGTGTTTTTCACTTGGGAATAACATCTATCCCATTCGCTCTGCCTATATCTTGATTATAAGACATGACACAGAACTAATTAAAAGAACATCATATGTCAGCAGTGAGTACAAAAAATCTTCAAAGGCAGGCTTTCTTTTAAGCAAGCAGACATCTGCAATGTGTCTTTGCCTTTCGAGCTACTGTCTTCATGAAGAATATCCACTATTCCTGGCAAAAGAGCCATTGGTTCTACTGTATCCACAGACATTGCCTTCCTCTATGAGTGAACCACCATTGGAAGAAAGTGAGCAGAGGTGTTTTTCCTTCGTGTTTTCTGTCCTCTCCTTGGAGCTCCTTTTCCATTCAATGCCACATACATTTGCCTCCCATTATGCTGCCAGTTAAAGGATGCGTAGGTATTGTATCCATTTTCCTCTATCCTCTCCTTCAACTTACAATCATTGTTAAATTCTTTCTGCAAAGAAAAAAACAGACTCTTTTATTCCTATGGTGATTGTACTTGATTTCTTTTGATACAAACCATCCAGAGAACTCCAGTCCAAGGGTTCTGTTTGTAGTTGCCATTTGTACATAAGTTGTGCACTTAATACATAATGTCAACAATAGAAGAGTAAATCTCAGAACCACAAAACACATTCTGTTTGAAAGCACATGATACATTTTAATTGATCATCATAGTCACTTTTTGAAAGCCCTTTTAAAAGCTGATGTGCTTTGAATATGACATAGTTTAAGTACCTAGAATGATTGTTAAGAAGTAGACATTCCGCTAACAATATTTGTGATGAGTCAGTAATAAAGAATAGTGTTATAGTGCTGCTTTTATAGTAATAACCAGGGGCCTCATGTGAAAAAAATAGAACTAAAGGAAAAATGTGGGCTTATCACATTTGCAAACTTTATCTACAAATCTACGATAAATACACACACAGATTCATAAGAAAGCAGATCTTATTGTAAAGCCACAATAGTTCTATATAACCAAAAAGGGGCGGGGTCTATCTTTCTTTCTTCCAAATACCAAATTTCTTAATTTCAGTAAATTATTTGCAATGTTCTATAGCTTGGAATTTTGACAGATTTTGCTCTGAACTCTAGGAATGATTGAAAAATAGGACATGGGATTCCTCATTTTGTGAACTACTATGTTAAAAAAAACTATGAGCATGGTGAATAGCAATGCCTATGTTGTATAAGCCTAAGGACTTTGATCCTGGAAAGTTTCACTCTACAGCAATAGAGCTTTGGTTTTGTTCAGGAGGCCAGTTGGATTTGAGGAGATATGCCTGGATAAGGCTTCACTAACACTCGCTCCACAAATCCAGGATGTTACTCTGGAGTTAATAACAAAGAGGAGGTACCTCAATGATCTCAAGACTCTGGCTTTAGAAGTAACCCTCTTTTCTTATTCTCAAAGTAATTAAAAAGCTAAGGAATTGGATTACTTGACCTCTGGTTCTACCTTCTTCATCCAAAGCAAGGGCTCCGTGGAGATAGTTCAGTTGAGGCCTCTACTTGGCAGTTTTTCTCACCTTGAGACTTTTTGAAATTTCTACAAGATTCCAAATTCCTGAAAAGTATATGTTTATATACTCAGGTGTCTGTAGGACTGATCAGAATTTTGAACATTATCAGAACCAGAAGAAGCAGATATATTTTATATTAATGTTACCAGCTTAAGTTACCTATCCTGCAATGTATTAGTCTTAAATGCTTCTCTTCTATAAAGTAATATTTAAATATAACATCCAAATGATGACTTAACTGGCTCAAAATAAGAAGGAAAGGTAAATTATTTAAGGTAAGGATTTCGATAAAACAAAAATAATTCTGCATTTGAAAGGAATATAAATCCTTAGTATGGATTTACTTTTATTCTGTTTATTTATCTCAGTTTGTCTAAAACTATAGTTTTCAAAGCAGAGATGATTTTTAAAATATGTGTAATTATATTCATTTCAATAAATGGGGTAGAGTTTAGAGGCTAATGAAGGACTGAGATTATTCGAAGTGATTTCATATTTGAGATGAAACTAACTATGTATAGAAAAGTGGGAGTATATGCTTAATGAATTTTTGTCCCCAAAATTAATTTATAGAGTAACGTTTCTTAAAGTAAAGTGCTCATGTATCGGCCTTTTTATTTCAGGTATTTTTAATATCTGGGACATAGTTCAAAGGTAGCAAAATCTCTAGAGAACGGGGCCTAGAAATATGTTATTTACAGGATCTAAGCAAATCATAAACAGTAATGTATAAAAAGAAAATTCAGGCCTAGAGCAAGGTCTACAAAGCAGGGTTTGGGAAGTTTTTTAAAAGAAGTCTGGATTTTTTCCAGCTACCTGAAAAATTTCTTTGGTACTTAAATCACGCTCTATTAAGGTGTTCATTTAATTCAGTTTTATAATTCATTTACAGAATCCTATCAGTCAGGAGAAAACTCAAAATACCATAGATACATTGCTCAGAGAATGAATAATGAAAATTTAAGAAAGATATACAGTTTCCAAAAGGGAGTAGAGGAAAATAGTTCAAGAGAATCGATATAGAAGTGGTTTAATCAGTCAGCCTGCATGTTTCCCCAAAACAGTTTTTAGGAGGGCTTATGAAATAGATGGATACTATATGAAAAAAAAAAAATGAAGGTAGGAATTGTAAGAGTTGTCACCTAATATACAGAATTATATTAGATATGTACTCATAAATTTTGATGTTAGTCCTATTTCACTTTGAGCAGAACATTGAACTTCAGTAAATTTTTTGTTTAATTTGAACAAGTCATAATTTTTTATTATTCCTATTAGAAATGTAAAGTCTCATACACACAAAAAAATAATGTTGTGGGTAGAGAATGAGTTTTCTTTCTGAGACAGGCTGGAATTAGAAACATGTTCTGTAATTGGCTGAGCTACTAGGAGTGGTTAGGTTTATGCAGTGTATAACTGTGCATAAATGCACTTATAACATGGTTCTAAGTGCTGAACAAATAGTGAGAGAAAAGACTGACCTCACCCTCTCCAAGGTCACAATCTGTTGGGAAAAGACAGTGAACAACAAACACATTAATGAGAGAAATCTTACATAAGTGCCACTGCAGACAATTAAAATAGGGTGATGTGATAGAAAGCAACTGGACTCTACTTTAGATAAAGAATTTGAATGAAATAATTCACAGAGCTTAAAGTTCAAGATGAAGCATAAGCACAGTCCATGAGCTATGTTGGGGCACAAGAAAAAAGAAGAGAAATGTAAGGAAAAGTATTAAATATTTTTACGTCAGAGTTTATTTGAAAGTTATCTATTTCTCCTTGATGTCATGTTTTTAAATAAGTATATTTTATCAATTAAAATTATTTAAAATCTTTTATATCAATTAATATTTTCTTTCTTCATCTAAATTAGTGTTAGCTGGCTTTAAGACCCTGGATCTAGACTAAGTATGTGTGTTGATATCTCTTCAAAGAATATATACCTGGTTCTCTTCCTCAATAATTCTGATACAATAGATCAAGGAAGAACCTGGCCATGTTTAATGAAAACATTAAACATGCCTCAAAAGTGATTATGATATGAACCCCTAAATGGCACCACTTTTTATAATTGTCTGTTATTCTTCTGGGCTCATTAGAGGAGCAATGGTAATGGAAAAATTTTAGTAAAATTTCTCTGACCCCCATGCAAAAAAGTATTTATGCTAGTCCCAGGGACCAATTCAAAGTATGCCTGACTCCCCAGTTAAAAATTGACCTGATACTAGTAAAATGGAAGGCTTACTCTATCTATGTCCAGACCAGTGGTTCTCAAAGTGCGGTTACTACATCAGCGGCATCAGGGACATCTAGGACCATGTCAAAAGCTGAAATTCTTGAACCCTACCACAGACCTACTGAATCAGAAAATATGGCTGTGGGTCCCATTATTCTGTCTTTTAGTAAGCCCTTCCACTGATTCTGATACATACTCAAGTTTGAGAGCTGCTAGCTCTAAATGGTCACAACCATCAGCCTTATGCTAATTAACGTAGTATGTTTATTTACAAATTTAAAGTGAAATTGTTTTTGATTACATAAAAGTGTAAAAATGACAGGATCTGTTTAGAAATGATATAAAATTATTTAAGAGATTTGTGTCACAGGTTTATTTCTGGCCATAGATATTATTGCATGTCCTCCAAAAAATGCAGTTGAAATTTTTCCAAGTTTATAGCTGCCTTCAGTATACTCCCCTGGAGTAGAATCCAGAGGAAAAAAATGAAATTCAGTTAGCATTCCCTTGATCTACCTCTGGGAGGGACACAATGAGAAGTATACATGCACAAACTAATATACTCCTGTCATTATTCAAATGACAGCTAAGAGATTGAAACTTTGTTCCCAGCTTTATCATAAGGCTACTTTACTATGCCTGATCTTTTCTTACATGTAACAACCAATCATGCTATAATTATTTCATATTTGTTAATGTTTTCCCCTAAATATAAATTATTTGAAGTCAAGGCCCATTTCTATATTTCTTTCTTGTGCATCTTCGATATGCCAAACAGTATCTGGCATATAGTAGATTTTCATATGATTGACTGTTGTGTTTTTTTCTAAGGACCTGAACAAGATAAATTGTCTCACTGCTTGTAATTTAATTATTATTACAATTTTAATTATAAAACAACTATTTGTTATTTTAAGTGAGATCTTAAATTTGTAAGAAGTTGGTTTAAATGAGTTTGATCCAAGATTGCAGAAGTGGTATTCCAAATACTTAACACTTGGCATGGGATACAGGTGTGGATGTGTCCAAAGCACTGCAGGGATACCTGCTCCACAAGGACCCTATTGCAAGGGAATGTTTACACACACACACACACACACACACACACACACACACATATATGTGATTTGGAGGCATAATTTGAATTAATGGTTATTGTCTAGGTAAATAAAATTCTAGAGTTGATTGAACAACATGCAAAATAGTGTTTCTGATACATTTCCCAATTTCAAATTTTAGCAAAATGCAAAACATCTGAGCCCTTGTTTTATCTTCAGCCATAACACACACATAATACATGGGTTTCTACTCAATTCAAGATCTTTGTTTTTATTATTTTTTTCTCCAAGTTGTCTGCAATTCCCATGCCAATCTGACCAGATGCTTCCGTGAGAGCCTGAGTTGGTTAGCAGTTTAGAACATTCACATACAAATGCCAGCAGCAGCCTGTGTGGTAGACTAATGGGTGAACAACAGAGGAGATTACAGAATTGGAAGAGATGCTTTGCCAGCCCTTGAAACGGTGGTGACGGAACCACTGTGGCTCTGTTTTACTAGCAATAGAAGGATAACAAAGCTATTCAATGGCTGGAGGAAACATTCCAAAACTGTGGTAATGATGTTCTGCAGTGGATTTGAAAACAAAAGCAGAATACTTACTGAGCCATAGAGTTTCCCCTTCTTGTTCATGGCTAAGTAATAGTTGCTGTTAATGGCTTTCACGGCAACAACTCCGATTTCTACTGATGTTATCTCCAGGATGCCTAAAACATACAATTTTAAAAGGGTAAATATAAAGAATCCTAAATACATTTGGGGGAAAAAAAAGGTAAAATCAAAAGAAACTATCGAGGTTTTGTTTTGTTTTGTTTTTGTTTTTGTTTTTGGTGGTTCTAAAATCAAAAGGCTTAAAACATTGGGAAATAAACAAGCGAACCTTTTTTCAGTGTGTCTTAAAACGCAGCAAAAATATTTCCAGCAAATATATGGCAAAAAGTAATAAGGCTTTAAAAGAATTCCCCTTCATTTTACTCTGAGCATACATAGAAAAATGTTGTTTTAATTAAAATGCTTCCTTTGCTAACTCCGCATTTTCAACCCTATAAATATTGAAACAACTCTACTCATCTTAACCTAGATTTCAGAATAACTTATCAGAGCCCGTATCTGTACTATGGTATTAAATTAAATCTATAGCACCTGTCAATAATATGCCAGACTACCTCAATCTGTAAAAACAGTGGTAAACTATTTCTTCTTTGTAGTACATAGATAAACTAAATCTCTTGGCTGCATTTAACTGATAAATTCATTTTTGGTAAATGTGTTGACATTCTGAGATACAGAGAAACTAATCCCAATATCTCTACTGTCTCTGAACTAGCGGAATCACTGCTCTGTGTTAGAAGAAAATCCACCAACATGGATTTTTAAAGTTTTTTTTTTTTTTTCCTAGGAAAAGTGAAATTCGAAGGAAGTAGTAAGAGATAGACAAGAGTTCCTTTTCCCCTTATACACAAGTTCTGATTGCTGCATCTAAAGGTAATTTTCTTGGAAAAGTTTGTAGATCACTATAGGGAAGGCAGTTTATAGTCTGCTCAAAGTGCTTACTCATTTTAGTTTAAGAAGACCTAAGGAACTAAAACTACTTATTTCATAACTCTAGGCAAAGTTTGTTCAGGGTAGAGAAGTAGCATTGTGATTATCATGTGGCCTCTGGAGCCAAAATGTCCAGGTTTGACTCCTGGCTCTACATTTATTAGTGAATTACCACAGGAGAAGTCACTGAACTCTCCCACGACTCAATTTTATTTGTAAATGGGCAACATATAGTACCTCCCTCATAGTTTTGTTGTGAATATTAAATGATATAGCACCTTTAAAATTACTAGAATTTGCCTGGAGCTTAGTATCTTCTTAATTATCATTAGAGGGGAGTTTTCTCCAACAGTTCTAGATTTTGGAAATTCTTCAGTGGGCTATGTAAATCCTGAACAATACATACAAATTCACATTGGCTTAGTACATAAAATATGAAAGTTGAGCATGTTATCATTTGTCATGTATCATGAGAAACACCTAATGTATACTACATCCTAAATGTAGTCTACAGATTATATGTTTACACTCTGCGCATAGACATAGAGTGGCTTAGCTTATTCTCAAGAGATGCATACCTTCGCTCCTATTCCTTCACAGGTTAGCCTTGTGGATGCTAATAGAAATGCTTGAGTTTCCCTATTGCAAAGTTGACACGACCAGAAACTGCCAAGACTAAATGTCAGAGAGCCTTCTGTCTATGTATCTGTAGGAAGTCTTTAGCCTGACACAGCACTCCTTTTCATCAAAAGAGATATATCTGACTCTATTTGCAAGCCAAAACCAAGGAAAGATTGGGAAGGATGAAGGAGATGTATTTGTTTTTTAACATCCATTTCCCTTATGCTGGTAGTTGCCCGTAAGGTGTACACACACACACACATACACACACACACACACACACACACACACACACATTTGCATATTCTGAGAAGTATTTTCTTAATTCACAGTAATAGCACTCTAAGGAGGTATTGTTAGTCTCGATTAGAAATTTTAAAAAATGGAAGTTACTTAGGTTATTTAACTCATATACACACGCAGGTGGTAAGTTGGCAAAGGATCAGTGATAATGGATGTTAACACTTAAGCCTCTGACTTTTAGATGCTCTCGCTCTCATCTCTGACTGCTTTGCCTCCCATTACGTCTTTCCCCTTTTCCACTCCTACAAGGGAATCCTGTTGCAAACCATCTGACAAAATGACTCATCAAGATAATTTTCTTTAATGACTTAATGTGCTGTTGCCTCCCAAGGATGATGGCATGCCACAGAGGATAATGTCTGAATTTTAGAGAACAAAATCTAATATACTTTATTTATGTCACAAGCAGAAGATACAACGCAGAGCAGGAGGTAGAATTCAGGGGCAAAAGATTAGGCAGCTGCTTACTTTGGCCAAAAGACAAGTAAGTGCTGTTAGTAAACTGCAAAATATTCCCTAATACATAATTTTAAAACTGAAAAGTAATAGAGCAAAGAGGAATGAAGGAAGATTTTAGGCAAAAAATAAACCAGTATTTTTGAAGGTGCATGTAACGTCGTGGGATCAAACTATCGTAACAGACTGAGCTATAGTAATAGTATAATATCTATTTCTGAATTTTTGATCAATTATTTCTAGAAATGCACTGCATGTGATATTATAGATTACATTTAGCTTAGATACCCCTTGGTTTCTTTCTGATTTATCTGAAATGGGAACTCAATATTCAAAGATTAAATCAACCATTTTTTTTTCCCATGCTGCAACTAGTTTAGGCAAGCTTAAAAAGTTTTAGTTATTATTTTTACATTATTTGGTTATTGTTGTTTTAAAATAGAAAGAGGGAACATATAGGTGATTTAAGGTCTTTTCAAATTTGAAAATAATTTTTTGGACGCAGCATATGGGTCAAGTAAGTTATAATTTGATCATCTTGTGGGTAATGGACAATGACTACACCTATTATAAACATCTGTGAATGTGAAAGGAGAGTTCTGCCCGACTGAAGCATAGAGGGCTTTTTTACATTTCAGAAGGAATTACTCTAGTTTTTCTGTTCCTTGGTGAGGATGATCAAGTTTGCTTATCAAATTATTTTTGGGAAGAAGCTCCAGAACTTTGGGGATTATTGAATCAGTAGCTTATAGTTCTATATGTGTATATATTGAAGGAAAATTAAATGTCAATTCAAAGATCCTCCTGGCAGCTGCTTCAAGATGAAGCTGCACATCTCCTTCCCAGCCACAGGCTGCCAGAAATTCATTGAAGTGGATGATGCCTGCAAACTTCATACTTTTTATGAAAAGTGTATGGTCACAGAAGTTGCTGCTGATGCTCTGGGTAAAGAATGGAAGGGTTATGTGGTCCAAATCAGTGGTGGGAACGACAAACAAGGTTTCCCCATGAAGCTTGACCCATGGCCATGTCCACGTGCTACTGAGTAAGGAACATTACTGTTACAGATCAAGGAGAACTAGAGAAAGAAAGAGAAAATCAGTTCATGGTTGCATTGTGGATGCCAACCTAAGCATTCTCACCTTGGTTATTCTAAAAACAGGAGAGAATGATATTCTAGGACTGACCAATACCATGGTGCCGCATTGCCTGGGGTGCAAAAGAGCTAGCAGAATCTGCAAACTTTTTAAAGAAGATGATGTCTGCCAGTATGTTATAAGAAAGCCCTTAAACAAAGAAGGTAAGAAACCTAGAACCAAAGCACCCAAGATTCAGCATCTTGTTACTCCACGTGCCCTGCAGCACAAACAGTGGTGTATTGCTCTGAAGAAGCAGCTTACTAAGAAAATAAGGAAGAGGCTGCAGAATATGCTAAACTTCCGGCCAGGAGAACGAAGGTGGCTCAAGAGAAGCCCCAGGAACAAATTGCGAAGAGATACAGACTTTCCTTTCTGCAAGCTTCTACTTCTAATCTGAATCCAGTCAGAAATAAGATTTTTTAAGTAACAAATAAATAAGATCAGACTCAAAAAAAAGAGCCCCCTGGAAGAAAGTGAGTGAAGGGCATACTGGGTCTCCTCGTGTTTCTTAAAAGTTTATGACTCCACTATTATCTCAGTATTTGTTTTTTTTTTTTTTTTTTTTAACTCAAACACCTGAAAATTATTAATGAAAGGACACATGAATTATATTTCCCATTCATGTAAATCAGATATTTTGTAAGTTTATAGGCATATTCTTGTAGTGAAATTCTGTTTTTTATATTAAGTTGTAACTCTATTAATTTTTATGTATCTTAAAAAATAAGCCCAAATAGTATTGTAAATCTATTTATGGGTCTTTGGACAGTTTAGTTCAATCACTTAGGAAGACCTAGGAGGAAAAGGGTACTTTTTTTAGAAAAATGAAAATATAAAGTCAAATACATAATGGCTTTTCTCTTGAAAGTCTATGTACTATTGGGAATAAAAGACAAATACACAGAGAATTACAATGAAACATGTTACATGACAGTAAGTGATGACTTAAGATGATGACAAAGGGACTATGGTGCAAAGATAAAGGCAGGTCATACTGACTGGGGCTCCACGATCAACTGACTGCTGAAGATGAGACCTGAACTGAGTGATGAAGGTTGAGTAAGAAGTGTCCAGGGGAAGGATGGAAAGGCAAGAGCAAAATCATTAAAGCGAAACAGTGTATTTTCAATATCCTAAGAGATTTGATTTACCACTGGAGTACAAGGAACAAGGCAGGAAGTTAGGAAAAGCAAAGCTGGGAGATAATGAGAATCAGTTTAGTAAACGTCTTATGCAGATTATAAGAATTTTGACAACTGGGAAGGATTTTGTCTACAAATCTGAAAATTCTTTAAATAATACACTAAAAAAGTAATATTTAGCAAATTTCTTCAAGTAAATAGTAGCAATCTTTAAAGCTTATTTTAGATTATATTTAAAATCTTACAAAATAAAGTTTGATGGACTATATTACAAAAGTGATTATGACAAAAATCAGTTCATGTTACTTTGCAGATGTTCCCTAATGACACATCATCACCTTAGTAATGGAGAAAATTTTGTGACCTGATAATCTCTGAGAGGAATAACTTTGAAGTCACAATGTTCGTGTAAATGCATTTTTTTCTTTTAATACCCATGTATGTAATTGTTTGGGCTGGTTATGTTTTAATGAGTGACTAGTTAATCTGAGAAGGTGGCCATTC